ATATGAAATTTTATTCTAACTGTATTTTAAAATTAATATATATATATTTATATCAAATACACTTAGAATGAATTTGTATATATATCTATGTATGTATAAATAAATAAGAATAATAAGAAATATACATATGTCCATATACAAAATTACATAAATAATTATATAAATATACACGTAGACTTCAAATATATAAATATGCATATATATTTAAATTCTACGTGCGTATTTATGTAATATTTTTACATAATTCAGTAATTTTATTGATTGCAATTTGAGGGACCTGCCTGCCAACCCAGGCCGAAATTCAAGAGAATTTAATTTGCTAGCACTGTATTTTACCCTGTAACGTTCTACGACACCCTAAAGCCTGTACATGGGGGGTACTGTTTTACTCGGGAGACTTCGCTGAACACAAATATTAGTGATTCACAACAGTAAAACATATCACAGCGATGATATTGTCAGTGAAATTTACTTTTTTTGCATTTTTCACACACAAACAGCACTTTTACTGATGATATAATTGTTGTGATACGTTTTCCAGTTTTTAAACACTAATATTTGTGTTCAGCAATGTCTCCTGAGTAAAACAGTACCCCCCATGTACAGGTTTTATAGCATTTTTGAAAGTTACAAGGTCAAATATATGGGTCAAATATTTTTTTCAAATTTGTATTTTATTATATCTTCAATATGTGGTCAGGGGTACAGAAGGAAAAAAGGGTATGTTAGCGGGGGGATACAGGGTTACAGTATTTGACATAAACATCACGTTCACAGAATTTGCGGAACCTGAGTGAGTACATGGGGGGATTGGTACATGCATGCATTTTGTCACAGTAACTTAAGTATATGTGTAGGCTGTTAATTCGTTGGGTGGTATACGCTATCGCCTAAGTGTCCATGCGGTTGGCTCAGGGTGGGAGCTATACCAGTGAATCCTCTCGTAACCATGGTTGTGTGCATGAATAGTCTGCTCAGTCGACATAGTTATGATTGTAGGCTGTATAGCCTATGATGGTTCGTGCACTCGTTAGTCCCAGGTGTGCGGGTTAGGAAGTACCGGAGTTATGCCTCATTTTGATGAGTATGTTGGTGTATCAGTAGGTAGTCCTAGTGGTAGGGTGCAAACTTGGTAGGGGACGGGGGGGGAAAGGCCAGTAGGGCCCGGAGGAGGGGGCGGGGGGGAAGAAGGGGAGTAGGGGAGTGATGGAGAGTACTGATAGAATGTGGTATAAGCATTGTTCATGTCCTGTATGAGTCTTGCCCTCATTGGAGAACAGGGTCTGGCCCGGGTATACCTCCCTCCTTGTCCACCGCCCCCTCCCAATTCCCCCAACCCATATCGAATGCCAGTTTTTTTGGGGGGGATGTTATTGCCATTCTTTCGTAGGTTTTGTATTGGGTGAGTTTGGTTTGAAGTTGGGCTAAGGATGGGCAGGTCTGTGATTTCCAATGTAGTGCTAGCAAGTTTCTTGCCGCCAGTATTGTAAGGGCTGCAATCTGTTTTTGTATTAGGGTGAGGTTAGTTGGGAGTAGGAGCAGGAGGCATGATTTTTTTGACAGTTGGAATTTAGGGATGTGAAGTTGGTCTAGTGTCTGTGATACGGCGGTCCAAAGTGGTTGGATACTACCGCAAGACCACCATAGGTGTTCCAAGGTCCCTGCAGTTGCGTTGCACCGCCAGCAAGTGTTGGGCGTATTGGGGTATATACGGTGGAGTCTCTGTGGTGTCATATACCAATGGTAGAGGAGTTTTTTGTGGGCCTCGATATGTGTGTAGCACTTGGTCCATTTAGAGAGACCGTTGAGGGCGCGTAGCCAGTCGTAGTCTGTCAGTGCTGTCCCGCAGTCTGTCTCCCAGTGGAGTTTGTAGGGGTGTGATGTGGGTGTTGAGAGTTCCTGCCATGCCTTGTAACATAGTGTGAGTGCTTTGGGTTTTGTGGGTGCCACCCAACATCTGTCTAGGAGTAAGTGGGAGGCGAGTCTAGTCGCAGTTGGCGTTGGATGTATTGGGGGTGTGTGTGTTTGAATCACGCTTTTTAGTTGTAGATAGGAAAAGATAGCCCTGTTTGGGAGTTGCCACTTCGTTTGTAGTATTGGGAATGGTAGTACGCCTTTGGCGTCCAATAGCTGTGATATTGTTGCCACTCCCGCCGCATTCCAGTCTTTGAGGGGAATGTTAGGTACTATTGTTCTCAGGACTGAGAGTGGAGATTTTGTGTGTAGTGTATCCTTATGACCTATTGTCTCCATAAAGGTGTCCCATATGGATATTGTAAGTTGTGTGGTTGGGAACAGGTCTGTGCGCTTAATTCTAAACTTCCTTGGTGTCCATAGATAGTCGGTTAAAGACATGCTTGCAAATTGTGCTCTTTCCATGTCTACCCATTGTAGTGTGCCTGGTGTGGCATGAAGGAGTATGCCTGTGGAGAGGATCGCTGCTCTATGGTATTGTCTCAGGTTTGGGAGACCCACTCCTCCATGTCGTGGGGCAGTCTGAAGGAGTGCTAGGGACACCCGGGGTCTTTTCCCGCTCCAAATATACGCGCTACATAATTTTTGTAGTGCCTTACAAAATTGGAGCGTGATCCCTAATGGTATCATCCTAAAGATATAAAGGATACGTGGGAGGATCATCATTTTGTACGTGTTAATTCTTCCCAACCATGAGATTTTTGCGTGTTTCCATCTGTTCATTTCCGCTTTACATAGTGTAATTAGAGGTTTGTAGTTTAGTTGTGAAGTGGCAGAAATCGTGGGCGCTATCTTTATTCCCAGGTATGTGAGGGAGTGTGATTTCCAGTCGAACTGGTATGAGGTCTGGAGTGTGTCTAACAAGGGTTTGGGCAGGTTTATTGGTAGAGCTTGGGTTTTGTCTTGGTTGAGGCGGTAGTAAGAAATATTGCCAAATTCCTGTAGGAGGTTCAACAGGGGGGGCAGAGAATTTTGTGGAAGAGTGGAGATATGTGCCAAGAGCATTTCTTCTGGGAGCGCACCTGTTGTAGCGCATTTGTTAACTAATTGGAGGAGCAGTGGTGCTATGGTTGGTGAGAAAGTTTTATAGTATTCATTTGTTAAGCCATCAGGGCCCGGTGATTTGTGTGCTGGGAGTTGAGAGATGGCTTCTGTGAGTTCGTCTAGAGAGAAGGGTCTTGTTAGGGGTGCTAGGTCGTCTTCTGTCAGTTTGGGGAGATCTAAGGCAGCTAGAAAGTCATCTATTGTGTCTGGGGTCGGTATGTGTACCTTGGGGTCCCGGTTGAGGTTGTATAATTCGCCGTAGTATTGAGCGAATTGGTCTACAATATTTTGGGGGTTCGTTACTTTTATGCCCTTGGGGTTGTTTAGGAAGGCGATTCTGGAGGCGACATTCCTCTTTTTCAGTTGTGATGCCAATAGTGCACCAGCTTTGTTGCCACTCGTAAAGAAATTGTGTTTCAATTTCCTGAGTAGGTAAGTTGTTTTGGCTAGCTCAATGTTGTTCAGTTTGTTGTGGAGGGCTAAGAGTTTTGTTTTTGTGGTTGGTTTTGGGTCTCTTTTGTTTGAATGTGTTAGAGTTCGGATTTCTTCCAAGAGATTGGTGTATTCGGCCATTCTCTGCTTTTTAGCATAGCTGGCATGTTTTATAAAACTGCCTCGTATGACCGCCTTATGTGCTAGCCAAATGTGTTCGATTGCAGAGTCAGCGGTCGTGTTTTCTGCTATATAGTGTTGTAGATCTGTCGTGATCTGGGATATTATTGCTGGGTCTGCTAAAAGAGATTCATTAAGTCTCCAGGAGCCAGATCCTTTATTGTTAAACGCTTCTGTAATGCTAAGTGTAATGGGAGCATGGTCTGACCACGTCATTACCCCAATTGTTGCTCCTTCTATTTGGGCCATCAACGTGTTGGGTATGAGGAATCTATCTATCCGAGAATAGCTGTTGTGGGCTGCTGTATAGCATGTGTGATCTATATCTGTGGGATGTAGAATGCGCCATGGGTCTACCATGCGAGCTGCAGTCAGTGTGGAGCATATTTTTGTGGTTAACGTGGTAAGTGTGCAATTCTTGATTTGGGCTGTGGTGGAGGAGTCTAATCTGCTATCTAATAGGCAGTTCATGTCGCCTCCAATAATCACCTCCCCGTGTCTATACATATCAGTTAGAGCTAAGATCATTTGCAAGAACTCGTTTTGGTTTTCGTTAGGGCTATATACATTAATCAGAGTATACGGTGCATTATTCAACATACATTGTAAAATTAAATATCGACCTTTTTTGTCACATATTTTCCTAACTAAGGAGAAGGCCACATCTTTGCTGATCATTGTGGAGACTCCTCTTTTCTTCGCTGAATAACATGTATGAAAGTCGTGAGGGTACCATTTTGAGGTAAATTTGGGTCTAGAGTTCCATTTAAAATGGGTCTCTTGGAAAAATGCCACTTGTGCCCCACATTTTTTTGCCTCTTGCAAGGCTAGCCTCCGTTTATTAGGGGAGTTAAGCCCTTTGGCGTTTAGGGACATGAGCTTAATCACCATCTTTCCAGCGTGGTGGATGCTGTGGCAGGGGTTTGTGTTTCTTAATCGAGCTATTGGTTACTTTAACTCGGCGGTCTCGAAGGAAACCTGTGGGGTTTGTATACCTGGGAGATCTAGGTAGTTTGCAACCGTGTGTATTAGTTATGCTGAGTTTGCGGAGTACTCTCAGTGGGGGGGTGGTGTGGAGGAGATAGGGAGAACAGGGGGAGAAACTATATACAAAATTCCGTAAGTCACGGTTTGGTGACATTTGGTTGCCTAAAGCAACGGAAAAGTTGGATTACTAGAACCTCGGGGGTGTACCACACTGATGTGGTAACTGGATCCCTATGTGTAGGGTATCAACAATAACTTGGGTCGAATGTAGTGCCGTCGGGTATTGCTCACCCGTTGCGGCTAGGCCTGTGGCCTTTGGTTAAACCCTTAATGGGTATCTTAGGTGAACTTGCATTATAACATTTAACAAAACAGTATAAACCTGTACGTTCAGTTCATTCAGTGGGAGGCATGATGCGGCTCTGGCCCTGGATCGTTCAGGTCGGTGACTTGTTCTAGTCCATGCGTGCCTGTGGGGCCCTGTGGATTCGTGACCAGTCTTTGGACAACGCCTTTGGTGCATGGGCCGGTGTTTGTTTCTTCCTGGGGCTAGTAGGTAGGAGGGGTATATTCCATTCTTGCAGCGCCTTTTTGCCGTCTTCTGGAGTCAGGATAGGCTTGTCCACGCCATTTCTTTTAATTAGTAGCTTCGTAGGAAAGCCCCACTTGTAGGAGATATCTGCGTTACGCAGTGCTTCTGTGATCGGCGCGAAGGCTCGGCGTTTGAGCATGGTCGCTGAGGAGAGATCAGTGAACAGCTTGATATCTTTATACAATTCTGGCCATTTGGTTATGGTTCTGGAAGTCTGCATAATTCTGTCCTTGACAGTGAAGTGGTGTACTCTCGTGATCGTGTCTCTTGCAGTGTCTGGTGGGAGATGCTTGGGTTTCGGTAGTCTGTGGGTCCTGTCCAGGATCAAGTCGAATTCAGACAAAGAGGGGATCAGAGTTTTAAACAGGTCTTTGACATACCTGGATAGGTCTTGTTGTGAAATGGCCTCTGGTATACCCCTTATATGGATATTATTCCGTCTGCTCCTGTCTTCTTGATCGGCCACCTTCTCTTCTAAGGATTTAAGTTTGCGCTCCAAGTCTGTGTAGGCCTCTGTTATTGTGTTATGTGCCTCCACCAGCTCGTCTGCCCTGTCTTCCAGGCGTGCGGTGCGCTCTCCCATACTTTGTATGTCTGCCTTGATGTCAGCGGTCATCTGAAGGAGGTCAGCCTTAAATGAGGTGTGGAGCTCCTGCATAATTAGCCTGATTGAGGCATCTGTTGCAGGATTGCTGTGCTCTGACAGGCAGTCTCCTGTGTCAGTGCTGTGTGCAGGCGAGTGCCGTCCGTCGGCGCCATCTTGGATTTTCGGCTCCGCGGTTTGTGACCGTTCTAAGTGGGGATTGAGGGTTTTTTGTTTAAATTTTTTGGTCGCCATCAGGGATAGGGGTGTTCACCTGAGTGTGCAGAGGTTTATCGCTCGTTTCTAGGGGTTTTCCACGCTGTTGAAGCCGCTTTATTGCCGCGGGTCGGGAGAGCACCGTTCCTGCACGTCCGCTCACATGCGCGGTCAGGACACGCCCCTGGGTCAAATATTTTTACATTGAAAATGGCCAGGTTGGTTACGTTGCCTTTGAGAGCGTATGGTAGCCCAGGAATGAGAATTACCCCATGATGGCATACCATTTGCAAAGAAGACAACCCAAGGTATTGCAAATGGGGTTATGTCCAGTCTTTTTTAAACCACTTGGTCACAAACACTGGCCAAAATTAGCGTTCAATTTAGTTTTTTTACTTTTTTCACACACAAACAAATATGAATGCTTACTTTGGCCAGTGTTTTCGACTAAGTGGCTACTAAAAAAGACTGGACATACCCCATATTGAATACCCTGGGTTGTCTACTTTAAAAAAAATATGTACATGTGGGGTGTTATTCAGAGATTTATGACAGATAATAGTGTTACAATGTCACTATTGATAAATTTTAAAAATGTATGTTTTGAAAACGCAATATCCTACTTGTACCTATAGCCCTATAACATGCAAAAAAAGCAAAAAAGCATGTAAACACTGGGTATTTTTAAACTCAGGACAAAATTTTGAATCTATTTAGCAGTTTTTTTCATTCGCTTTTGTAGATGAGTAAAAGATTTTTCAAGTAAAAGTCAAAAAACATGTATTTTTTTCAATTTTTCATCATATTTTTTATTTTTTTTAAATTAAAATACATGAGATTATATAAATAATGGTATGTAAAGAAAGCCCATTTTGTCCTGAAAAAAAACAATATATAATTTGTATGGGAACAGTAAATGAGAAAGCGGAAAATTACAGCCAAACACAAACACCACAAAAGTGTAAAAATATTCCTGGTCGCAAATGTACAACATCGCAAAAACAGTCCAGTCCTTAAGGGGTTAAATATTTGAGAGGGCTTTTAGTTGTGGTATAGGAGGTGTTTAGAATTACTGCGTTTCGGGTTAAATATAATATTGAAGTCCATGGTGTACTTCATTTGTAAGTGGAATTAAACCTTTAATTAAGGTAAAGGGTTTAGTTTCAGGTTTAGGCTTTGAGTGCTTGCATTTGGGACTAAGGATATAGTTTGTTTATGTTTTTGGGATGGGTTATATTTACATTGGTAAAATGGGTATTTAGGGCATGTTGAGTATGAAGGATTACTAGTAAAGTACTCACTCACCAATGATTGATAGTAGAATTGCAAGAGCTGTTATATAGTGTGAATCACTCAGTGCTGTTAGCTGGCACATAGGAAGTGATCACACACCCAAGAAGAGCTGTGGGAGCAATGTGTTTTACACCCTCAAGCGGTCCTGTAGCGCTGCTGTCAAGTATACGAGGGTGACTAGACTATAAAGGACACTGGCCAAGACTCATCATACTTATCTCCCTTCACCAGCCCACCTAAGCTCCAAAAAGGGATATTATAAGTGCTGTAGAAAGGCCCCCCTACAAGACACAAACTTATAGGCATGTACCTTCTCTGACTAATGGGTAATCATGCCATGGATTTGTTCCAGGTGTGGTTCCTCAAAGGAAACTTCAGAAATGCTATAGTATAAAGCATGGGATATGGTTGCCTATAAACCAATGGTTTAACAATGTACATGTACATGCTGGAAACTTAGGTAAGGCTGGTTTTAACAAACACAGAGTATTACTCAAGGTGGATTTGCTCCATTTAGAAGTCATGCTGTCTAGTATGACCTCTTGCCCACATTAAATAGTTCTGTAGATATTAGTGGAGCTTAATTATGAATGCCACAACTTTAACCTGTTT